TCGCCCTGACCATGAAGAAAATGTTTGTCTCTCAAACAGAGGTTATTGGATAGCACATTTTGAAAGGGTCAAAGTAAAGATGTTCTGGTGTGCAATATTGTGAGCAAAGTCAGGTGACACATTGAGTGTTTGTGTTAGCCTTCTATGGCTAAGTCTCCTCTGTCCACAGGTCAGAACAGGGTTTCATCCTGATTAGGGTGGACACAGTATTATATTCTATAGATAGCCCGTGTAGCTGCAGCCCTGGATGGTAGCTGTCAACCCCGCTGGTGCTGTGTCATCACTTTCAGGGCCAAATATGACCCACTTTACTGACACAGTAAAGCTAATCTCACTTTAGCCAGAAGCAGTAGCTCTTAGTGTCATTCTCAATAAAAAGCGAGCAGTTCTAGCCAAACAAGACAACGCGTTCCATCGACAGGACCAGAATAGAGGTGCAATATTCTTGCACGTGCCGTTCCGTTCGCCTAAGAGTTGTTGATCTGGAATGTTATCCACCCGCACTGGTGCTAAAAATAGCGCAATGGACACAAAAAAATGTAAAAAAGATTACTGGCGGATATCCCTCATGGCTTCAGTAGTTCTGTGGAAGCGTCCCACTCGGCATGACCCATAAAAACATGCATGTTCGTGTTGGTTAAATAGGTTTATGTTGATTAAAATGTGGCCTTTTTGAGACTGGCCCAGACCTTTGGTCATGTATTTCTCTTCATGTACCATTTCTAGCGCAAGTGTAGCAGGAAGGTGACGATAAACCCTAAATGAGACTAAAGGTGTTAAGCAGGTGAAAGCAGCCTTTGCTTACACTGATGTAAGTGGAATTGAGCTGAAAGGAGTATATGGTCAGTTTAGTCAGTAAAAGCAGTGTGAACGGCCATGAGGTTAGATTTACTGTAAAGTGGAGAATTGCTATTTCGGTCTCTTTCCTATCTCAGGAATCTTTTCTAGCGTTTGTCTTCTGCTGTTTATTGTCTTCTGTATGGGCGTCTTTGTGTTTGGTCTTTGGTATGTGTGAGTGGGCTGTGTGCATGTTTCTGCATTTTTATAAATATTTCCTTCCTTCGTTCTATTATTATTCAAGAATCTCAAGAAAACATGTATAGGTAACATTTCACCCTAAAATTAATAAGAAACAAGAAACTGTATTAAAAAAGACTATTATGTTTCTTAGACCATTTTGTGTTGTTTTTGTTTTGTTTTGGGGGTTTTTTGGCATTGTGACATTTTCGCCCATTTCCCATTACCATAACAAATTTATAAATTTTACTTTTTTTTTTTTGTAATTCCTATTATTCTCAATGGGTATTCTCATTATTGTACTAATATCTTAGTAATTTTCACTGAACTGAAATTATACGAATACATGACAATTTGAATGTATTTAATGTAATTATATTTGTATTTAGTTTAATATTATTAATTGTAATTATGATAATAATAAATAATATTTATATAATATACAATTCAATTTAATAATATTAATTTTTAAGGTAATGCCAATTGTGGACAAATATGATTGTCAAGAACTTAATTATATTTACGTAATATTTATGTTTAATTGAATGATTTTCTATTGCCTTGAGGTAATAACAGTTTTGGAAATACATGCTTAGTTGTCAAAAAAGTTTGTAATTTTTTCATTAGTGTCAACAAATGGAACTGCAGAAATGTTTTTTTCCAGCAGGTTTTCACTCCCACTGTCTTTCATTGAACAGACATATAAATCATCCTGCCCCAAATTCACACAATTCTTTCTTCTTTCTTCTTTCTTAAGATTTTTAGGGTGAAATATGATCCAGAAATGGTCTTGACGGGTTTCTTGAGATTTGCTCTATAACTGGTGCTCAGTCCTCTTCCTGGAGGTCTACAGGCACAGTTTAGCTCCATACCTATCCAATTACCAATTAAATAAGATCTTCAAGAACCTTAGATAATTACAAACAGGTTGGAGCATAGTTTGAACTGAACTATGCAGCAGGTAGATCTCCATTAACAGGACTGAGTACCCCTGCTCTACAACATTTAGACCATCTGCGCATATATCTTTCATTTCCACCTTCTTTATACTTCATGTGTCTGTCTGGGTATTTTGTGCACTTTGGCATCACGGATGTGTTGTGCAGGTTGCAGTTCCCACAGTTGGCCCTACGGCGGCGACTAGGCCAGCTGAGCTGCATGTCCCGGGCTACTGTCCGCCTTCGCTCATGGCCTCTGTCCATCCTCTACTACATCCTGCCCTTTGGAGCACTCAAACCTCTTGCCAAAGTAGGCTGGAGGCCCACAAGCAGAGTAAGTACAGTGGAAACAACAAATAGAGCCCACAGACTGATGTTGTGTGTGTTTGAGTTTGCAAAATCTCACTATCCAGAGACATAAATGCCATCCATCAGTGAGTAATCAATGTGTAATGGCCATTTGGGATTTTGTCTACGATTATAGGAAATGTTACTGGAATCATTAAGGAATAATGCCCTAAATAACCCTGATCTGGGATCAGTACTTTTCATTCATAACCCAGAGAAGAAAGGAAGCTACAAAACTGATGTGAGGTCAGCAGAACGTGCTGCTGCTATCAGCAGATGGCCGCTTGCATATGGACCCGCTGAGCTCCATTGGGACTCGTGTGAAAAGAGCCATTGTCCCACGGTGCAGCTCTGAACTGAGGAAAACTTTGTCTCTAGACCCAGTCGAGGGCATCGTGCCACGGTGGTTCTGACACCACTATTGTTCAGTTCCCAAAAAAACATTGCCAGTCAGCCCATGCGGATGCTCTGAAGCAGATACCGTATCTCCAGTGGCAGACAGGAAGTTACAGAGAAACAGGAAAACGTTTGGTTTGTTAATCTAAATCTGTAGTGTTGGACATACAGGAGGCGTCATGGCATCATGATTATGAAATCTTGTACATATAACTGCCACACTGATAGTAGTACACATATTACGTTACCTTTAGTCATTTAGCGGATGCTTTTATCCACTTACAAATTAGGAAGTTCTCAAACAATTTATCATTAGAGCCAATAATATTTGCAGTACACAATAATAAAGTTTTAAGTATATAACTATATTTAAGTACACTAGGAATATACAAGTATCGGATCGAGACTCGGTATCAGCAGATACTCAATATTCAATGACTCCGATCAGATCGGGGGCACAAAAAACCTGATCGGGACATCTCTATATATAAGTATAGTAAGTAATAAGTAATTTAAATTTAATAAGTAATTATACAAGTAATAAGTATACTAAGAGTATATATAGGAGTATATTTTTATATTTAATATATCTTTTATACTTTTAACATATTCAGCATTCAGTTGTAATGTTATTATATTTTGTTAATGAAAGGAGTCATTTATTATTTATTATAGTTATTTAATGATCCTGACAGCACCTGAAAAATAAAAAGAAACATAGAACTTGCATCTCAACTATTTCCCATTTGCCAAACCAACGTAAAACAAGTATAGCAAACAAAACAAAACCATTACCACTAGCAACTGGAGTTTAAGTAAATATAACAAATGTAAATATAATCATAATAATAATAATAATACATTATTATAACTAATAATAAATTATATTACACAGATAAGATTTTTAAAAAATACTCTAGGATGTGAACTCTTTATTTGAATTTTCAATTTGTGTTTTATAAAGTAATTAATTGACCATTTTTTTTTAAGAGGTTAGTATAAATGTATTGGCATTATTTATTTGCTGTTTAAAAAAAGAGAACGTATAATGACACACTTTTGGTTCTTAAAGAGAATTTTCTGGGTCAGATATCCGACACTTCCTGCTTGTTAAAGCCATAACTATTATCTACAACCCACCAACCCTGTAAGAGAGTGTCCACATTTAGCCTCCTGTCTGTCAGCTGGGATTGAAGCTAACAACAGTAATCCACTTACACTGAACACTCAGGCCAGCTCCTGTCATGCATCAGCCTCCATACTATCTGTAACACTGATCTAGGATCATTCCTTTTGCCCAGATCAATAACGATCAGCGAGCTACACTGATCTAAACACTCTAGGAATGCACACATTGGAGCACATGGTGCACAGCGGGTGACGTAAAGCCATATGCAGGTGCTGGACTCAATACAGCAGGTTTAAAACTCTTTAGATGCTCACATGCATTAACAATGAGTGTACACATCATTTTTTTATTTTTTATTTTTTTATTTTTTTACAAATATCATGAATTATTATTAATTCATTAGTATGATTAAATTTATGGTGAGTCACACCACATGAAATTTTATATTTGTAAAATGTTGTCAAAACATTGACTTATTTTATATAAATAATAGAAAACTTATGCCACTTAATTAGGTACTCAAGGGTTTCTTGTAAAGAGTTTTTAATGATGAATTTGTTAATGCTTTTTTAATCCATTATGATATTACTTTATTTTTTACTTTATGCCCCCCAAAAAATCTCAGAATAAATTTGAAATCAGTTTAAATTAAAAACATTAAGAAAATGTTCAAGTCATTGTGTGTGTGAACTGCATATGTAATATTAATATAAATTAGTACAACCAGACGAAAAAAGTGTTTGACGCAAATATAATTTTTATTAGTAATGCACCAAAATGTGTTTTTTTTTTTTTACAGAAACCAAAATTTAGTTTGGTTTTCATTTATAATTGGGTAATTGGGTCATAGTACTGTATATGCTGTTCACGGTGTCATGTATCTGTTTCGGTCAATGTTTTCTGCCCTCCAAAACCATTTTGGCTGAAACCTAAAACCTTTTTTTTTTTTTTTTTTTTTGCTGTTGTGGCCATATATTTTGAGCTGCTGAAATTTCGGTACATCACTTATTTTTATGCAGATGATATATAAAGAAAACAAAGTGGCAATTGCTTACATTTGCTTTGCAGGTGGAAGATCATTAAGTGTGTTTACTTGTCTTTCTGCAAATGTTTGCTTTTGTGTATAAGATATTTGAGCATGGCGTCTCCAAACTCTGTCTCTTGGGTTGTAGGTTACAATCTACAAGTCCATACCCACAAGACTTCTCTCCAGAGCCTGGGGTCGCTTGAACCAGGTGGACCTGCCAACTTGGTTACGGAAACCTATCTTCAGATTGTATATATGGACGTTTGGAGTCAACATGAAGGAAGCGGCCATAGAGGATCTACAGCACTACAGAAACCTGGGCGAGTTTTTTAGGCGAAAACTCAAACCTCAGGTCCGGCCAGTGTGTGACTCGCACTGCGTGGTGAGTCTGGGCTTGTAACTGTGGAGGCATTCTTTATAGATGGAATAGATTTTTTGTCCCATTCACTTTCATTCATATGTAAACCCAAGAGAATGGGTGCATATGCAAGCATGTACGTAGAATTTTCATTTCAATAGAGCCGATAGATGGACCTATATTTATACATTTTCATTTATTTGCTCAAAATATTAATTATGGTGTCTGAAATATTTATTAGATTTTTATAATTTTGCATATTCCATCTACTTATGTTGGTTTTTAAATACAGTTTACAGAAAATGTACCAAATAAACAATATGTCGACTTGAGGTGTGCGATATATCGTCTGCAATAATATCGTAATTGTTGTATAACGATGTGCGATTTGAAAAACCATTCAAAACACCCCAACAGAGCGTTTTTGATCTTTCACTGCATGATTCAGTCTATTAAAATGCCTTTAGAATGATCACAAATTCAGGACAGGGGCAGAAAATGTATATATTTATACCACTTCATATAGTTAATCAATTTCACATGAAGAGTGCAGTTTTTCTCCAAAAATTACCATGATTACAAATGTGATATTGATTTTTTACAACAGTTCAATAAACAAGACGTTAATATAGAGACTTACATTTTAGACACCATATTTCCTGTTTTTGCGCTATTTCGACAACAAAAATAGTTCCAAACAAAGCCACAGCACTGTTTTGCGTCTCTGAGCAACATGACGGCGTTTCGTTCGTTGAATGAATCAACCGTTGATTCGGTTCAATTGCAACATATAAACAGTGACTTGCTGCCACCTACTGGTGGTTTTAATTTCACATTAAAAGTATCTTTTATCTTTTTTTATTATTTAAATAATTTAAAATATCAGTATTCAATGTTTTTTGTTTAATATATTTTTAAAAAATATGCATTTGTAATCGCAGGTTAAATGCATTCATTTCTTGCATTAATCAGTGTGCAAATACATCTAAATGCCACTTCAGATGCAACTTCTGTGTTTCCTCTGCATTGCAAAGATGAATTTTGTTGATACTGATTTAATTTGCTTGGTAACAGGCAGCCCAAATGTCTTATTAATCTAATTCACTGATTAAATTTGACTCAAAAGATAATGGACACTTTTAGAAAAATGGCTTTATAAAGGTAAAAATGCCCATAAAATGTAAAAATAAGTTTAAACCTATTGGAAAAGATTAATTTCTATCAGTGTGAACTGACCACCACACAGAATATGAAGAATATAAAAAATTTTAGGAGTCAGCTGTCCATGGTATCCTTAAGGTACCAGCACAATAACACACAGCAAAATATCATCTAATTATCATTATCGATAAAATCCCAGAAAATATCCAGATATCATTTTTTTGTCAATATCGCACACCCCTAGTCGACACAGATACTTGCAGACTAGTTTAGTTTAATATGACTGTTGATTTGCTCTACAGATCAGTCCAGCTGATGGCAAGATCCTTCATTTTGGCCGTGTGAAGAACTGTGAGGTCGAGCAGGTGAAGGGAGTGACCTACTCACTGGAGACGTTCCTCGGGCCACGCAACTGGACCGAGAATTTATCTGCTAACAGAAGTAAGTCTCAGTAAAATTGTCATTTTGACCAAGACAATGTTCCTGGATCGAAATCCTTTGATACTGGAGCATCACAAGATTAACACTAGAACATTTGTAATAGTGACATTTAATTCAAGGTTTTCCAAGCAGCTAAATCTATTTGTAGGTTGTAAACACAAAAGAATCACAATTTCGTGAAGGAGAGTATCACTCACTCTTATCAATTTGCACGCACAATGCTCAGTCAGCAGAAAATAACACACTTACTGCTCGTCACAACAGTGGCAAAGTTAAGGCGGTTCTAATTACATTCGCCAGTTCGTTTTCTTTATAAGGCATTTTCTAATTTATTTTCATATATGTAACATTTTGGTTTACATTTTGAGTTGTTTTCTTTCTTCACAGTCCATATTGTGAATTTTTGGATCACTGCATGTTTGACTTCATATTTCAAATGCCTCAACAAATTTTCCTAATAAATTTATAACACTGAAGCTGTATTGTTCAAATGTTTTGTGCCAAGTGACTTATTTAACAAGTACCTGGAAAAGCTTAATTTGGTACTTTGTACCCTAAGTATAATCCACACTACCATTCAAAAGTTTGGGGTCAGTAAGAATAGAATTAAATTAAATTAAATGTATGCATTTAGCAGACGCTTTTATCCAAAGCGACTTACAGTGCACAGTGCATTCAGGCTATACATTTTTTATCAGTATGTGTGTTCCCTGGGAATTGAACCCACAACCTTTGTGCTGCTAACGCAATGCTCTACCACTGAGCCACAGGAACATTATATACATATATAAGTCTCTTATGTTTACCAAGGCTGCATTTATTTGATCAAGAGTAGTGAACTATTATTACAATTTAAAACTATGTGATTTATTCCTGTGATAGAAAATCTGAATTTTCAAGCATCCAGTCTTCAGTGTGACATGATCCTTCAGAAATCATTCTGATAAGCTGATTTGGTGCTCAAGAAACATTTCTTTATATTATCAGTCTTGAAAACAGATATGTTGATGCATTTTAAGGATTTCAGGAGTTTTTCAGGATTCTTTGATAAATAGAGAGTTTAAAAGAACGGCATTTATTTGAAACAAAAAAATATTTTGTAAAATTATAAATGTCTTTACTGTCACTTTTGATCATTTTTTTTTTTTTTTTAAATGGACTGTCCCCAAACTTTTGAACGATGCGTCTAACATCAAAGGGAAATTATAGACTGATATGAATGTTGAAAGACCTGTGCCTAACCCTAAAATCTTGTCTGACCAATCTGAACATCAAGGAACATGTCCTACTTGGATAAATCATGCTAAGCTTATAGGCCATGTGAGGACAAAAAAGACAAACTGTCCAGTATGTTTCATATTGGTTTTCCTACCAATTATTGAAAATAATCACTTTAGTTTTTCTCACCTTTTTCCCGTCATGTTCAGATGAGGATGATCCTGGCACGTACCAGGATGCCCTGGTCACTAAAGAGGGGAATGAGTTGTTTCACTGCGTAGTTTATCTGGCTCCAGGTGACTACCACTGCTTCCACTCGCCTACAGACTGGAGGGTGGCACACAGACGCCACTTCCCAGGTCAGCGGCATTATATGTTCTCTTTCTATTTCTCTTTGCTTTTTGAAAATATGATTTGTTATTAAAAGATTAGTCAACAGTGACTTTAGGTCTTATATGCTTAAGTTATAAGCGTCTTTTCTAATCTGATGGCGACTGAGCAGTGCGATACCATCAGTGTGTTGTTACATAACTGAAGCACATAGTGTGGTCTGATATGTTTGTGTTTATTCTAGGTTCTCTGATGTCAGTGAACCCAGGAGTTGCGCGTTGGATCAAGGAACTTTTCTGCCATAATGAGCGGGTGGTCTTGAGTGGGGAGTGGACGCACGGTTTCTTTTCACTCACGGCTGTAGGAGCAACAAATGTGTATTATTGACATGTCAAAGTCTAGACCCTGAATATAAGACGACCGCGTTTTTTCAGATGTATTTCCAAGAAAAAAACATCGTCTTATATTCGGGACAATACGGTACATCAAGGTTTCCTAAACTGGGCTTGTGAAGGAACTGCAGGGGGTTCATGAGTTAAATGAAAAGCTAATAATTAATTAAATAACAAAAATGTTAAATGAAAACAAATAATTTTAACATGAATCAAAATAAAACACTTACTGAAAAAAAATTAGATATTTTATTTGTTTACCTGCATGTCATGTAATCAACGTCAGACATGTGTGATACTTCATTATTCAAATATTTATTTTAAAATCTCAGGGGTACTTCAAATAAAAATATATTAGGAGAAAGAGGATCAGATGACAAAAAAGTTGGTGAATTTGTGCATTTTAGTGTGTTTGAAAGACAAACGCCTTCCAAAGTAATACATGGTAAAATAACTGACTGAGTGATAATTCAAATAAAAATTAATGTGTTCATCAGTAGTTGATGCAAAGCTTCTTAAACCTGAAATGATTTTTGTAAATCCACCTGACTAATGACTGATCTCTGTGTGAATGTCCACAAAACTGGAAGACTTTCTGAGTGTATATAAGCAGTAGGCTATTTTAGAAAGGAAATTTAAAAGAGGAATTAGGGAGAATTAATAAATTATGACTAAATCATTGCTATTGTATCAATAATATGTAATCATGTAATCCATAAAGTAACTGCAGTCTGATTACGAGTATTTTAAAATGTAATATAATCTAATTACAAGTACTTAATTTTTGGAATCTGATTATGTAATCCAGATTACATGTAATCAGTAACTACCCAGCTCTGCGTGCCGACATGTAGTTCCGTTGTTCTTCGGGAATCCCAAGTTTGAGTTCCGGATCCTGTCCCCCTCTCTCTCTTCCATTTCACTTCCTGTCTAACTACTTTCCTATCGAAATAAAGCCATAAACATCACAAATAAATCTTAAAAAATACTATGACGTTTTTGCAATACAATGCAATACAATGATTGAGAGATGTACAAATAAACATTCCTTTAAATCCTGATATATTATATTTGATACTCAAAGTTTAATTAGATTTTTCTAATAAAAATGATAGAATTGGATGATCAAGTTGCTTCTGTCCAATAATTGTTCGACTTGAAATATGACTAACAATATAACGTTTACATTTCAGTAAGGATTTCAAAGCAAAAATATGTGTACCACAAGCTGAAGAGGGCCATTTTTACAGTCATTATAAAAAGCCTTTTAATTTTCGATTGTTTAATTTAGTGGCCTTAGAAATGTACATATCAAATATGACAAAAGCTTTATAAGGTTAAAAATCATTTTCATTATTTGCTTATCATTCTTTTATTTGGTTTCATTATTTGCTTATCATTTGTGTTGTTCCAAATCTGTATGTCTGTCTTTCTTTTGTAGAACATAAAATGAGATATTTAGACTAATGTCCAAGCTAGAGGTTTGCGCGGGACAGTTTTTTTAGTCCCGCTCCCGCAAGGTCCTATTCTGCACCCACCCGCTCCCGTTATATATTCACTCTTTGTTCACCCGCTGTCTGCTTCAAATAATTTTCTTCTCGACCCGACCGTTCCCGCTAAATTTAGATCTTGTTTCCAGAATCTCACATTTAAATTTCCGCTACTGAAAGAAAGAGAGATAGGCTGACAAATAAAAGTGTAGGCCTAGTCTGCACAAAATTGTATGTTATTTTATTCGTCTTGTCAAGAGGCTTGAATTTATTGACTTTGACTTGAATTTATATGAATTATCTTAAGACACAAAATTTGTTTAATATTTTATGCAACCCACTTCCGGTGTCCCACTTCCGGTGTGCTGCTCGGCTGCACACTGCAGTTCAGCATTTGTTTGCTATGTCTGTTTTCTTTTGTAGTATGTTTTTCTGTGTACTTTACAACACAGAAAGTAAAGTAATGAGTATATTTTTGACTTCGGTAAAAGCGGAAGAATGATCGTCCGAAAAGTTCTATTTTTGGCTCTGACTTTGAGGATTACTTTGAGGATTATTGGTGCGTGTGAAACATGGTTGGAGCCTGCACATGGAACCGAGATGAATTAGCTCCAGTGTGGCAACCAATCTTTCAAGCTTCCATTGACTTAATTATGGTTCCGACAATATGGAAAACCTCAATCATAAAACCGATACCAAAAACACTCTGTCCAAAGGAATGTAAAGATTACAGACCCATAGCCCTCACTTCAGTAATTGGCAAAAGTTTAGAAAGAATACAACTTAAACACTTGTTTAATAATGTCAAAAGGAAACTTGATCAGTGTCGGTTTGCATATAAACAAGGTAGCAGTACTGAGGATGCAGTGGCTGCCTTAGTGCACATTGTTACTAAACATCTAGACAAATGCAACTCTTATGTTAGAGCATTATTTCTTGACTTTTCATCTGCGTTTGATACTATTCAAGTTAACACCCTTGTGTCTAAACTAATACAGTTAGACGTGAACCCATACTTAATTAAATGGTACCTCTCTTTTCTCACCAATAGAACCCAAAGGGTTAAAGTGAACAATGTCCTGTCAACAGAAGTAAAAACAAATGTTGGTGTACCTCAGGGTTGTGTAAGCTCTGCTATGTTATTTACTCTGTATACAGATGACTGTCGAGTAAACAGGAATGACCAATATATTTTAAAGTACTCCGATGATACTGTGTTAATATCGTTATTGAATAACCAAGAGTGCTTAGAACAGCATCAACAGGGGGTAAACAAATTGGTCGAATGATGTGACAACAATGCCCTCAGTATTAATTTTAAAAAAACTGAGGAGATAGTACTAGGGCCTGTTGCTGACATTCATACAACACCTGTTGTTATACATGAAGAGAACATCAAACAAGTAGAAGCATATAGGTACCTAGGAGTATGGATAGACAAAACACGAAAGAATACTACTTAAACACTTGTTTAATAATGTCAAAAGGAAACTTGATCAGTGTCAGTTTGCATATAAACAAGGTAGCAGTACTGAGGATGCAGTGGCTGCCTTAGTGCACATTGTTACTAAACATCTAGACAAATGCAACTCTTATGTTAGAGCATTATTTCTTGACTTTTCATCTGCGTTTGATACTATTCAAGTTAACACCCTTGTGTCTAAACTAATACAGTTAGACGTGAACCCATACTTAATTAAATGGTACCTCTCTTTTCTCACCCAATAGAACCCAAAGGGTTAAAGTGAACAATGTCCTGTCAACAGAAGTAAAAACAAATGTTGGTGTACCTCAGGGTTGTGTAAGCTCTGCTATGTTATTTACTCTGTATACAGATGACTGTCGAGTAAACAGGAATGACCAATATATTTTAAAGTACTCCGATGATACTGTGTTAATATCGTTATTGAATAACCAAGAGTGCTTAGAACAGCATCAACAGGGGGTAAACAAATTGGTCGAATGGTGTGACAACAATGCCCTCAGTATTAATTTAAAAAAAACTGAGGAGATAGTACTAAGGCCTGTTGCTGACATTCATACAACACCTGTTGTTATACATGAAGAGAACATCAAACAAGTAGAAGCATATAGGTACCTAGGAGTATGGATAGACAAAACACTATCATGGAGAGATCATATAGATAGTATCTGTAAAAAATCAATGCAAAGAATTTACTTTCTTCGTAGATTGAGGTCATTTGGAGCAAGAAAGCAGATTTTTTTATTGTTTTTTATGTCTGTAATCATGAGTGTCTTGCAGTACTGTAATTCGGTTTGGTATATGAGTCTATCTGTTAGTTAGTTAGTAAAAACAAAGCTAATGAACTTACTAAAAATTTGCTCCAAAATTGTGGGTCAGCCACTTCAAAAAGCATATGAACTATCTTACCATAATAATCTTGTAAGATTAGCTAATAACATTGTTTCTGAACCTAATCATGTGTTGTATAATGAATTTGTATTGTTGCCATCTAATCGACGATATAAGGTCCCAAGATACAGCCGAATTAAGTTAAAGAATTCATTTGTACATCAAGCTGTATTAGCGCTGAATAACTCATATAAAAAGTAAATGTCCTTTTTTTTTTTTTTATATGTATGTGTGAAAGCTCTGCATTCTGTTGTTTATGTGATAAAGTATTGTAACCTTGAGTGAACCTGCTGTAACCTAACACAAATTTCAGACTCTGACAATAAAGTGTATCGTATCGTATCGTATAACACAGTAGGAAAAAAAGTGTCAGAAAATAAAAATTTTGTAAAAAAATTGTATTTCTTATTTTTATTCGTCTTGTCAGGATACAATTCATTTAACATTGACAACACAATTGGGAAAAAGTGTGGCAGAGAAAAAAATAATAAAAATGTAGGTTGTACAAAAATAGCCTATTAGCTATTTTTATTCGTCTCGTCAAAATACTAAATTCGTTTGACATTTTTCTGTTAACACCGTAAAGTGTCGCAGAGAAAAATAAATAAATACGACATCTTTCATATAGGCTAAGCAAAATATAAACAAAACTAGTTGAACGTCCTTCAAGGACAGTGCATCCACACTTCGCCCCATCCTTATTCTGCTCTGTCACTCATCGACAACCTGCCTGTTCTGTCTGAGTTAGATATATAACCGTATATTTACCACCGGTACAGCCTGCTCTGAGCATCGTTATGCACATGCTGCGAACAGACCACGCAAATAAAACGCGTGACGTTTAAAGCATGCGTGCAGCGCGTGCATAACAGTCCTGAGCGCAAGCTGTACCGGTGGTCAATAAGAATAAAGCGCAGATATGCTGTTCTAAATGGACGTCGGAAACAGGATTTTGTTAGACAGCCCGCTCCCGTTCAAATTACACCAGAGTTACCAACCGCTACCGCGTTTTATTCGGGAATTTAATCCTGCGGCGCAAAAAATCCGGTCGGGTCCCGCGGTTCCCGCGGGAGAGCCGCAGGAATGCAGACCTCTAGTCCAAGCATCTCTTATTGCATATGACAAAAACGT